CGGCTAAACAATAAAGGGAAACTTCCCATCGGCCCACAACTGCGCGCTTCGGCCAGCAATTGCATTAGCCATCAACACTATCGGCGGCCAACACTTCATCCGCCAATACTTCATCGGCTGGGCACGCATCGGCCGGCAACACAATCAGCCAAGCAACTAAGCAACCCATCAACACTTTCGGCGGACTACACTTCATTGGCCGGCACTTCATCCGCCAATACTTCATCGGCTGAGCACGCATGGTCCGGCACCGCATCGTCCGGCACCACATCGTCGGCACTGTATCGGCCGGCACCGCTTCAGCCGGCACCGCATCGGCCACAACAAGGCCACCCCGTCAAGCGACCGCATCGTCCGGACTGGACCGCATCGTCCGGGCTGGACCGCATCGGTCAAATGAGCGGACCATCGGCCGGAGAAGTCCCACCACGCCGTTCCTGGTTCCGAGTGGCCCCAAATCACGGACCCCTCGGCCGATTCGTGGTCTCTCGGCCAGGCGACGGTAGAGCAGCGGCGCACCACCTTGGCCTTGCGACGGCCAGAACAGACGGATGATTCCGGCAGGGACGACGGGAATCTCCTCGTCCCCAATAGACTCCAGCGACGCGGGGAGTCTCCTCGTCTCTGTTTCACGCTCCACTCCGTCGAACCAACTCCTCCCCTTCGGATGAAATCAACTTAGACAAGATCTGGGACCAGCATCCCAATTGGAGTAGCGGGCTGATTAAATGTGGGCCGACTATTAATCTCAAGGGCCCTGGATTCTTAAAGAGCAGGCCCAAATCTTATATTCCCTCTTTTAATTCTAAGCAAGGCAGGCTTCGGCCCAAATACAAGTAAGTGCCACAAAATTTTCCTCCTATTTTATGCATTAAATATGGAGCAAAAATAGTTTTATCACTACTCAAAAAAATATATATATATATAGTTTTACTACTATTCCGGAAAAAATAGTTTTACTACTATTCCAAAGAAAAAAAGAAAACAATAATAATAATTGCTACTATTATTATTATCTTCACCACCATTGCTAGCGGATTGAAATCCCCAATTGGTGCGGACCAAAGCCTTAACCTTCCGAACATCTTTATTTGATGATTCAGATCATATTTGGGTCCATTGACCTACCATGGTCATCTTTATTTGATGACCCGGGCATCTAGAATGAGAGCCATCAACGGCCGCACACGACATTATGCCTAGAAGCGGTACACCTCATTCCCCTACACGCTAATTGCGTCATCCAAAAGCCGTTGCAATAAACAACGCACCTAAAGCCGTTGCAATAAACAACGCACCCAAAGCCGTTGCAATAAACAACGCACTCAAAGCCGTTGCAATAAACAACGCACCTAAAGCCGTCGCAATAAACGACGCACCCAAAGCCGTTGCAATACACAATGCACCTAAGGCCGTTGCGATCCACAACGCGCCTACAAAGCCGTTGCAATAAACAACGCACCTAAATATCGTATCGGCACAAGCGGTGAAACACCCAAATCGGCCGGCGATATGCAGGACGAAGGACCTGTGTGCATGGTCCAACGTCTTCAAACGGAGAAGCATACCGCGTCGTCCGCGCGGAAACCGCAGGACGACAGGCCTGAATTAAGGCTGAGGTTACAAAAACTCCACCCGTCAGTAAAATTTCGCTCAGGACCACAAAGGGCGGCCGTCAAAAGACGATGCCTAGTCCAGTCCCTCGTCGCCGATAGACGTGGAAAGGCAAAAAAGGATGCCACTGACACACCAAGCCGAGGGCGTATTTACTCCCTCGCACTAACACACGCGAAAAGCGTAGCGGACAAAATACCGCACATGGACGAAGGGACAGTAACCCTTCGGCCATCCAAAAAAAAAAAAAGAGGGAAGCCGACGGACCGTGCACTTGCCGGCCTCGAGCAATAAAAATAAATAAATTCCCCAAACTTATTATTCATCTCAAGACCGGCTCCCAATGCCGAAGCTCTTGCTCCATCATCTCATGAACGGCCTCCCCAACGCCGTCATACTTTTATATGACGATCGGCTTCATCATCGCCTCGTCATCATTATCCGGATCGGCTCATCATCATCGCCATCCGCTCATCACCACCGGCCCCCCGGCCTCGGCGTGATGCTTTATCTCAAGACCGGCCTCCCCAGTGCCAAGTGTCTTGAGCTAGCGACCGAGCTAGCTATTCCCTTCCGGGATAGCAACCGTCGCCTCTATATGACGATCGGCTTCATCATCGCCTCGTCATCATTATCCGGATCGGCTCATCATCATCGCCATCCGCTCATCACCACCGGCCCCCCGGCCTCGGCGTGATGCTTTATCTCAAGACCGGCCTCCCCAGTGCCAAGTGTCTTGAGCTAGCGACCGAGCTAGCTATTCCCTTCCGGGATAGCAATCGTCGCCTCTATATGACGATCGGCTTCATCATCGCCTCGTCATCATTATCCGGATCGGCTCATCATCATCGCCATCCGCTCATCACCACCGCCCCCCGGCCTCGGGGTGATGCTTTATCTCAAGACCGGCCTCCCCAGTGCCAAGTGTCTTGAGCTAGCGACCGAGCTAGCTATTCCCTTTCGGGATAGCAACCGTCGCCTCTATATGACGATCGGCTTCATCATTGCCTCGTCATCATTATCCGGATCGGCTCATCATCATCGCCATCCGCTCATCACCACCGGCCCCCCCGGCCTCGGCATGATGCTTTATCTCAAGACCGGCCTCCCCAGCGCCAAGTGTCTTGAGCTAGCGACCGGGCTCGCCATTCCCCTCCTGGATGGCGACTGTCGCTTCTACATGACGATCGGCTTCATCATCGCCTCGTCATCATTATCCGGATCGGCTCCTCATCGCCATCCGCACATCACGACCGGCCTCCCAGCCTTGGCGTGATTATTTCTCCTCAAGACCGGCTTCTCATTGCCAAGTGTCTTGAATTGGCAATCGGGCTCGCCGTCCCTTCCTGGATGGTGACCGTTGCCGCTATATGACGATCGGCTTCATCATCGCCTCGTCATCATTATCCGGATCGGCTCCTCATCGCCATCCGCACATCACGACCGGCCTCCCAGCCTTGGCGTGATTATTTCTCCTCAAGACCGGCTTCTCATTGCCAAGTGTCTTGAGTTGGCAATCGGGCTCGCCGTCCCTTCCTGGATGGTGACCGTTGCCTCTATATGACGATCGGCCTTCACATCGCCTCGTCATCATATGTTGGACCGGCTCATTATCGCCGTCGTCCTTACATCGCGTCCGGCCTCTCGGCTAAGGCGTGATACCTTATCTCAAGACCGGTCTTAGTCCTCCCTTCCCGGATGGCGACCGTTGCTTGGATCTTCGGATCGGCTCATCATCATCGCCATCCGCACATCACGATCGGCCCCCCGGCCTCGACGTGATGATCTAGCTCAAGACTGGCTCCCTTAGCGCCAAGTGTCTTGAGCTAGCGACTGGGCTTGCTATTCCCTTCCGGGATAGCAACCATCGCCTCTACATGACGATCGCCTCATCTCCGCCTCGTCATCATCATTATTCGGATCGGCTCATCATCATCGCCATCCGCACATCACGACCGGCCTCCCAGCCTTGGTGTGATTATTCCTTCTCAAGACCGGCTTCTCATCGCCAAGCGTCTTGAGTTGGCAATCGGGCTCGCCGTCCCTTCCTGGATGGTGACCGTTGCCTCTACATGACGATCGGCCTTATCATTGCCTCGTCATCATATCTCGGACATGCTCCTCAGCATCTTCGTCCTCACATCACGATCGGGCCCTTCGGCCACGACGTAATGCTTTATCTCAAGACCGGCTCCCTCAGCGCCGAGTGTCTTGATCTAGCGATTGGGCTTGCTATTCCCTTCCGGGATAGCAACCGTCGCCTCTACATGGCGATTGGCCTATCATTGCCTCGTCATCATACATTGGACCGGCTTATCATAGTCGTCATCCTCGCATCGCAGCCGGCCTCTCGGCCAAGGCGCGGTACCTTATATCAAGACTGGTCTTAGCCATTCCTTTACTGGGTGGCGACCATTGTATGGATTTTTGGGTCGGCCCCTCAGTGCCGATCATGGCAGGCCCTCGGCCTCGACGTGATCATATTCCCCAAGACCGGTCTCAGTCATTCCTTCATCGGATGGCGACCGTTGCTTGGACGTTTGGCTCGGCCTCATAGTGCTGACGACCTCGCATCAGGATCGGCCCCCCGGCCTCGACGTGATGCCCTATCTCAACACCGGCTTTGTCAGCGCCAAGTGTGTTGAGCTAGCGATCGGGCTCCCCATTCCTTCCGGGATGGTGACCGTCGCCTCTACATGACGACCGGCTCATCTCTGCCTCGTCGTCATTATTCGGATCGGCTACCCATTATCGCCATCCTCATGTCACGACCGCCGCCCCGGCCTCGGCGTGATGATCTATCTCAACACCGGCTTCATCAGCGCCGAGTGTGTTGAGCTAGCGATCAGGCTCGCCATCCCTTCCTGGATGGTGACTATCGCCCCTACATGGCGACCGGCTTATCATCGCCTCGTCATTGTTATTTTGGATCGGCTCCTTATCACGGCTGTCCTCACATCACGATCGGCCCCTAGGCCACGATGTGATGTCCTATCTCCGAGACCGGCCTCTCATTGCCGAATGTCTTGGGTTAGCGATCGGGCTCGCCATCTCCTCCTGGATGGCGACCGTTGCCTATATATGATGATCGGCTCAGCATTGCCTCGTCATCGTATCATCAGACAGGCGTCCCACGCCCCGTCCTCATGTTCAGACAGGCGTCCAACGCCTCGTCCGCATATATTCAGACAGGCGTCCAACGCCTCGTCCCCACATTCAGACAGGCGTCCAACGCCTCGTCCTCATATTCAGACAGGCGCCCAGCGCCTCATCCTCATATTCAGACAGGCGTCCAACGCCTCGTCCTCATGTTCGGATCTAGCAAACATCTTGCGGTCTCCGGCTCAGAGACTAAAGGATCTCAGATCTTATCTATAGGCCCCTCGGCCACATCTTGCTCTAGCATCTTTATTTGATGACGAAGGGCTCTCATACAGGCCCATCGGCCATATATCTTGCTCCGTCATCTTTATTTGATAACGAGAAGCTCATCTATAGGCCCCTCGGCCATATACCGCTCTGTCATCTTTATTTGATGACGAAGAGCTCATCTACAGGCCCATCGGCCATATACCGCTCTGTCATCTTTATTTGATGACGAGGAGCTCATCTACAGGCCCATCGGCCATATATTATTCTGTCATCTTTATTTGATGGCGAAGAGCTCATCTACAGGCCCATCGGCCATATATTATTCTGTCATCTTTGTTTGATGACAAAGAGCTCATCTACAGGCCCATCGGCCATATATTATTCTGTCATCTTTGTTTGATGACGAAGAGCTCATCTACAGGCCCATCGGCCACATATCGTTCTGTCATCTTTATTTGATGACGAGGAACTCATCTATAGGCCCCTGAGCCATATCTCGCCCCGTCGTCTTTATTTGACGACGTGGAGCTCTTATGCAGGCCCCTCGGCCATACATCGCCCCGTCGTCTTTATTTGACGATGTGGAGCTCTTATCCAGGCCCCTCGGCAACACATCGCCCCTTCGTCTTTATTTGACGACGTGGAGCTCTCATATATGCCTCTCGGCCACTACTCCCAGTCATCTTTATTTGATGACGTGGAGCTCACATCGGCCCATCGGCCTCATATTCTGGTCATCTTTATTTGATGAACCAGACATCATATTATGGACGGTCGCTCGACCCATCCCTTAGTCATCTTTATTTGATGACTAGGACTACTGATCATGACGAGCTACCCACATCTATGGATCGGCCTCTGCCATCCCCTCGCTGCAGCTCCACCTCTAGGCCGAAGGGCTCGCACCTATTGTTTCGTTCTGGGGGCATCCGATGTACTCTTTTTCCCTCATTAGGATTTTTTCCCACAGGGTTTTTCCTAATGAGGTTTTTAACGAGGCATCTCCCCATTGTGGATCAAAAGGTGTCAACCCTCGGCCCCCTGTTGCAGACATCATCAGACATGCATTACTCTACTCCTCTTCACCTCGTTACACTCGCCTCAAGGAGTGGGGGACTGGGAGAGCGGGGGACTTAGTGCCTTCGCTACCAAAGAAGCAGAAATTCAAAATTTTTGCAAGGATTGCCACACGCACCGACGACATCATCATCTCACATACATATTCAGCTGCCACATCGGCCAGTACATATACATAGCTCCCCGGCCTCAGGACCGGTGGTGATGGTCTCTAGCCTGCGACCTTCGGCTGAGGATTTTCCCACAGGGTTGCCTCAGCCAGGGCTCACCAGTGGGATCGGATCATCGGCTTGGGAATCCGGGCGGGGCGCTTCGGTGACGACAGCGGTTTACTCACCAGACGACGACAGATCAGCAAATAGTTCTACTCTCTTTCGCCTCGAGTACTCTCGACTCAGAGAGTGGGGGACTCCTGATAGAGTATATAGACTCGGACCCCCAGGTCTCACGACTATTGGGCCCGGACAGCGGCCCACATACGCTCAGTAGATAGCATTTATCTCATTGTACACTTTATTTATTCAGATGTATCCATTAGAATAGATTAGATATCATTTATTAGCCCTTTATTAGCCTTTTATTGTAACTGGGCCAGCCAGGCCCAAGCCTGGAAGCCCAACCCTCTTTTCTCCTATAAATACTCCCTATGGGAGCCATGTAAGGAAATGAGATAATTGATTGGAATTCATTATATATATCACTTTATCTCTCTAGCTCTCACTTCTCTCTAAGATTAAATAATCTATCACAATGTTTATCATTATTATACTACCCCGTCCCAAATTGAGTTGCAATTTTGACTTTTCTTGGTCAAACAGATTCGTTTTGTTCGTTTAATTAGGATGTCAATTTCTAATTATATTCCAATTTGGAATTTACAACTTTGAAGAGATTTCAATGTAGTTTATGAATATGTAAATTTGAATTATTAAAAATTGAATTAATTATCAATAAGAAGGTTTGACCTTTATTATTGGTTGACCAAAAAATATTGACTTTGCAAAACAATTTGGGATACAGGGAGTAATAAACAAAAGTTAATTATGAAGTTCAAACATTATTAAGAAAAAATTGCCTAAATTTCCACTTACTATCATTAGCTATAAATCCTATAATAGTTTCCTTCTTAAGATAAATGTTTTATAACGTGATTTATTTATGTAGACTACAAAAATTCCTATATATTTTGAGGATGAAAATATATTAATTTTTTTATATAAGCTTTATCCCTATTTACTCTTATTTTGAACCATGCGTTTTTTAATACACAAAATTAAAGAATAGAGGCTGTTTTGTATTTACTCACGCTTCCTGCTACCACGTGAATCTTCAGCCCACATAGTTTGGGGGATTTTTTAAGTAAGTGCATAAGAAAGGTTATATGGTTCCCACAATCAAAACTGAAGCGACCAAGCACGATTTCTCTGAGATTCTTCGCAATTGGGAGTGCTGCATATGCCACTGCCGCATCATTATCCTAAAGTAATAACCAAAGTATCGGATAAACAAATTATAAAACTAGTTCATAACTTTCAAATCACATCGTGTAACGTATAGTGATTTTTAAGTAAATCACTTTAATACTCCATATAAGATTATTACCTTATGACGTACTTCGTATATATTTTAAATCAAGACTTCATGGCTTTTTATGTTCATACTTTTTCATCGCGATTTTTCATAATATAAAATTAATATCATTATTCCTTCCTTATCTCCTTTGTTCATTTTTAGCGTGTCATTTTCATAGTTAAATACGGTACGGGAATTAAACGAGGTTTAATACGTACGTGTTTTATTCGGTAACAAGAATGAAAAAGACGGTCAAAAATTCGTTGAAAAATACGTTGACTTTTAAAAAACGTGTGAATACGTATACATGTATAATACGATATATGTTACAAAAATTCGGACAAAAAATATGGGATATTATTTTGAACATTTAAAGTATATACTTCACTAAATAAGATATGTACTACGTAGTAAAAAAAAGTATACACATATTCAAGTAACAAATCTCATTACCACATAAAATATTATTTTGTAATTTCATAAGTCGATGAAAAAATAAAAATACTAATTAAATCCAAGACATAATATTGCAAAATAATGTCAAAAAAATGAGGAATAATAACAATAGAATGAGACTAAGTTAAAATCATTGTCTTTATATGATCATCAAATAACACTCAAGTCAAACTCATGATTTTCATCAAAATGATGAATGACATATGAGAAAAATACGTTGTGCGACTGCTATGCTTATTATTGTTTATGTGTAAAAGTTTGTACTAAAAATATGCCAGGTTTAGAAAAACCTTAATTTTGATATGATTGATTGGAAAAACATCATAAATGCAATAATATTACAAGTTTTGGTCTTTTGGGAAGCTAGTTTTAGCCGTCATGCAAATAATTTTAGTGATTAATAATTGCATTGTAACAATACAAAACATGGGGTCACGAGGAGAAGGTTTTCATTTTTTAAGCTATTGTTGATCTCCTATGCATTATGAGTTATGTAAAAACACACACAATATTAGTTATAATAATTGATCAAAATTTACAATTATTGACTAGAACGGTAATAAAAATGACTACCTAAAAAGTGAACACGGTAGTACCATCTAATCAATATTAATTTTTTATTTGTTAAATTGCAACATATACCTTTTATGGAAATAGGTTTAGACAATCTTGACTTGGTACAACATTTTTTGGATAAAAATAGACTTTGCACCTCATATTAAAAAAAGTTAATATATATGTCGTACCGGTTTGAGTAAAAAAAAATTAATGTAATTTGCACCTTAGCTTTTCATAAATGTTTGAACAATTGTAGTGCATATATTAGTTTTCAAAAATTAGAGTACAAACTGAAGTCTAATACTCCCTCCGTCCCAAAAAAGTTCGCTAAATTAACTTTTCTTGCTCAATGACAATCATTTTTGGCTAATGATATTTTATAATACAAAATTATGTAGAATATGAAAATTATATCAAAACATTCTTTATTCAAAATATGTTCATAAAAATATAAAATTTATAAATTATACTTCGTATACAAATATAATATTTAAAATCGTTGTCTAAAGTTTGTGATAATTGATAAGCAAAAGTCAATATACTACATATATGGTATCTCTTAAAAATGTGGTGCACAATCAAAATTTTCAAATACTTTAAGAGCATCTCTAATGGTAAAATGTGCACGGTGCACACGTGGTATGAGAAATGGCCACATAAATATTAGTAAATAAATTCTTTCTCTCCTTAGTTGAATGATTTTATACATTTTTGGTAAGTTTTTCTCGACAATGTCAAGGAGACCGTCTAGATGTTGACATTGTTATTGACATTGCAGGGAAAAACTTACCAAAATTGTATAAAATCATTCAAATAAGGAGAGAGATAATTTATATGCTAATATTTATATGGCTATAACTCATACCACATGTGCACCGCACGGTGCATATTATAGCATTGAAGATGTTCTAACAGCGACAACACGTTACAATTGCAAGTACGGAGGATGTATATTCTCACCGAAAACGAATTTGCTGACAAGCAGAGGGTATGGATAGATTTCAAATGAAGCGCGAGAAATGTGATTTTGAGCCCTTCGAGACAGCTAATAGCGTTTAAAGTTTGAAGTCGGGGAGCGCTGACCAAAAAATTACCAACACCAACACAGCCCTGGACGAAGGCCAGCTTCTCAAGCTTCGGAAGATTAGTATTGACCAGTCCGTTAACATTACCACGGAACTCAACGTCGTAGAAATCTGACGACATGAGTCCGGGAAATATACACCGAGCATTTGCCGGCAAATGGACAACGAAATCTAACAGTGAAAGTCGCCTGATGGTCTTGCATGAGATTAAACAAAGTGGAAGCTTATATTTATAGCTCGGTACGGAGAAGCCCATCGAGAGGTGAAGCTCCTCGACGCCGTTTCTTGAGAGAAAAAGACACCACCGGTCTAATTCGGACTGCAGCGGCGGCAGAGGATAGGCACAAATGTCCAACGTAAATACCTTAACAGGCCCAGCTCGCAGCAGGAGAATGCTGTTTATTATGTTCACCAAAAACACGCCTTTGTAAGCAACATTTCTCAAGTTTCTGAAAGAGAGGAAAAAGTCCCAGTCAAAGGCGAGTCGCCCTTGGCGGTACCAAGCATCCCTCCACTGAGTAGAGAGCAGAGCGCATCTGGCGGCGTCTCGAGTGGGCATCCGCTCCAAAATCCTCTCCTTTACATCTTCGGGCAGCTCACTTATCACAGTTTTTCTTCTCCGATAGGCAGACATCAGATCGGAAAGAGGAATATGTATCGATCGGATTAATTGTACGTAGTGCAATTTATTACGGAGTAGTTAAGTAGGCGCGCAGCATGCGCTTAGCTTTTGGGCCTTATGGGGATTGGGGAGTTGCTGGATCTTCGAATAGAGCACGTGCATTGGTAAAGGGGTAGACATTGCCGAGTTAGAAATTAAAAATAGTGGAAATTACCCACCTTTTGTATCTCACGTACCGTTCTTAAATAAATGAAATGGTCAACATTTGATACTTTGAGACACAACTTTTACCATTAATATAAATGATTTTGTATTAATAAAAAATTAAAAAAATAGATTATTAAAATTTACAATGAGACAAGTTTAACAATATTTTTTTCATAAAATAATATTATTACATTAACAAATAAAACGTAGTCAAAGTAGAACATGTGATTAGTGTAAAAGTCAAAGTGTTGCATTTATTTAAGAACGGAAGTAGTATTATTTATGTATCATCTAATTTTGTTTTCATTTTTAATCTTTTGTATTTTCAATCGTGTTTACTTATTTCAATTTTAGACCACCTCCTCCAACAACGTAATGATAACGACACAAGGTGGGCATCGCTCCATCAAAGCTACCGAATAACGACTTCCGGCCCACTCGGATATGCTCAGATTCAATTCCTTGTCCCAAGTTCGTCAAGCAGTTTGGTTATGAATTCGGTGGTCTCAAGGCTTGGAATAGGAAGGGAAGGCTTCCAAGTTTTTCCAATGCAGATGAGATATTTCTTCTGCGTCCAGACGAGAGCTTTCTCGATGAAGAGCAGAGTGGGCATGGGATGAATTTGCAGATCGAGCTGAGAGTAGTTGCCGGTTTGCAAATTTGTAGCACGATAGCTATGGTTGTTGATTTGAACTTTCCAATGCAGATCTGAGAAAGGATCTTCCTCCAACGTCCAGGTAAGAGCTTTCCCTTGATAGTTGATATCAAGCGCTTCATCCTGTTTTTGATATCATGCGCTTATGTAGTCCAAATTTATACTACCTCCGGTTTTTTTTAATCTTCACAGTTTGACTTCA